GTGATATATTTTTATATTTAGATGTTTGAGGTAACTTAAACTCAATGTGTATATGTGTGTTTCTGTGTGGCCAGTCTTTGCTTGTGTTCAATGAGGGGCTGAAGAAAGTCCTGCTGGTGTTCCCTCACTTCTGCCTGGGACGGGGGCTGATAGACATGGCCATGAACCAGGCTGTTACTGATGTGTATGCCCGCTTTGGTATGTACTGTGTACCTATCCATCATTTTAGCTGATAAAATTTCATACTGTGTGATTTGTGAAAATATTCAAGCAAACTTTTACAAAATTGCTAATTTGGGTTCTCGCAGTTTCTAGTAGTTTGTACTCTTAATACCACACTGTAGTGTCACGGCTGGGGTAGCAGACGTGTGGTGTTGAGAAGGAGGACCCAAGATGCAGGCATAGACTGTGATGCGAGTGAACTTTATTTACACGAGTGACAAAGTGGCAAAAACAGGAAGAGCAGAATGGGGAGTTAACAAAACCTAAACTGGGGAAAACTAAAGAACTAACCTGAAACCATAAGAACGCGGAGTGATGAACCGGGCAGAGAGACACAGAGAAAACACAGAGTTACACAGATGACATGACCACAGGAGGGAAGCACAGCTGATCCTAATTCACATAATGATAGGAAGACACAAGCTGAACACAGTGAAGTCACACATGGATCTACAAAGTAAAACTGGAAGTATACACTGACGGAACAAAGAACGTGAAACTGACCGGGAGCATAACCCGTAACCAAAGAACTGAAACATCCAACCCCAAATACATAATCAGAATACCCCCAAACATGAGATAATAATAATAATAATAACAATAACAACAACAAAACGCTGGGTCACCGACTCAGGACCATGACATGTAGATCTTATAGGCTAGATTAAGCGTAGTGTTGTACCATCTGTACTGTCTATGCATAAAGTACCCTTTCACTCACTGAAAATTTTAGTAAATTTTGAGTTTGGACCTCGTCTGTTTCCAGGTGAAGATTACACATTGGACCCTTTCCGATGGGACTTTGTGGGGAAAAATATTGCTTTCATGGCAGTGGAAGGCTTCGTTTATTTTATTCTTAATCTTCTGATCCAGTACAGATTCTTCCTGGACCACTGGTAAGAACACAGCTAAAAGCACACTAGCTTAAAATTTAAATAAACAACAGTAACTTAACCATAGGGTTAGAATTTAAAGCAGAGGAGCTCTTTTGCACTAGAAGCTTCAGTGCTGCTGATTTTTTTCCAAACCTCCCAGGTTGTCAGACTACAAGCAGAGTCCTGCACAAGATGAGGATGATGATGTCGCAGCAGAGAGGCAGAGGATTTACGATGGAGGGAACAAGGCTGACATTCTGCAGATCAGGGACCTCTCTAAGGTATACATTTTATTCAAACGACTAATTTCATATTTATTGTGATATTTCATTGCGCATTTTGGATTATAAGACCGTATGAAATAGAAGTTTCAAGGTTTCTTCCAGGCCAGTTTTGTTAATTTCATTTTCAGTTTCAGAATTAAATTTATTTCCAGACATCCTTTCATTTGTATTCACATCAGCATCCAGTTAAATGAAAAATTAAAAAAAAGAGGGGAAGGCATTAAAGGTTAGTATTCGTGGGAACATTCAGAAAAACTCCAGTGGGATAAGTACTGAATACAGAAAAGGTCGCCACACATTGGAATTACAGCTCCCTTTAATTTCATTAGCAATGTTTCTACCAGCTATAGGTCTCATCATGCAAGTGCCTGAAAAAGAAATAAAAGTTGTGAAATTCAGATTATAATGCAAAACAGCCCACAAATAACATAAGTAAATCCCTCTATGGAGATGGAGCAGGAAAGAAGCTGGGAGTTGTTTTGTTTTTGTTTGTGTCTCAAGTAACGCGAGAGTGCTTTCCTGATACCAGAATCATAGAACTTTTCTTAATAAATATTGGATAGCAAACTTAATGCAGTGCTAAACATGAATTTAACTATTTTCCCAAAAAATCCACCACCTTTTTTAAACATAAATTCTTATTGTTCGAGCAGCACTACACAACTTAAATGTCTCTCTGCCTTCTCTGCACAGACGTATGTGGGCAGGAAGAGGGCGGCTGTGGACCGGATTTGTGTGGGAGTCCCTGCAGGAGAGGTAAAGTCACTGAGGACATTTATATTGAGACCTACTACTCTTTTCTATTTGCTGTCAGTTTTCTCTTTCTGCATCTCTTCAAATAAACTGACAAACTGATTTGGCATTAGAGCATTACAGCGGCACGGTAACACGCCGCGCAATTTGCAGTTCTATATTTATCTCTTCTAGTTAGTCTAATCAAGCTTGATCGAATATGATGGAATATGAGTTTCATTCTATATAAATGGGAGTTTATTTAAGTGCATTCATAAGCCTGTTTGCGTTTTTTCCTGTTAGTGCTTTGGTCTCTTGGGAGTAAATGGAGCTGGGAAGACGACAACCTTCAAAATGCTGACTGGTGACACTGATGTCACCTCTGGAGAGGCTTCTGTGGCTGGTTACAGGTACATAAAGTTTATTTTAAAAAAATGGTCCCTGGATAATAGAACACAAAATCTGTTCAGGCCTGCATCGGATGGAATTTATTAGAAAAAGAGAAAACTTTGCTCTTGGTTTATCCTGCACACAGTTCCAGATGAGTGAAAACCAGAAACAGTTCACTGAATAAGACAGTTTGAATACGGGAAGGTCAACCTGACATTACCTGTGTGTTAACACCATCAGACTATTAAACTCATCACTGTGATACTCTGATTGGGGGGGGAAAACGCAGCCTAGGAGGGCTTGAATAACAATTCGACTTCAAAGTCTAAATTCTCATTTTGTCAAGGAGTTTCATGCCAGTTATTTGAAAATTCACAGTTTTCCCCTCAGAATACCTGCTCAGTTAAGTGGAAAATGTCTTTGAACAAATATCTAGGGATTCAAAGAATGTGAAGCACTGATGTGTCAAATGATAGTAATTATTGTCTGACAAATATGGGCATTAAATTAAATACACTTGACAAGAAGATTAGGTAAGCAATGTTTTAGTCCCTTTCTATTGAGAGGAATCAGCTTCTGAACTTCTTCGGATAGCTTTCTTAAATAATCACTATAGATCTGTCCCTTCTGGAATTGATTGATGTTTTGTTATTCCTACCATGTTAGGTGCTCCGTCAGTCCACTGCACTGAATTGCATTGTTTGTCCTGTTTTTTAGCATCTTGACAGAGATTCTGGATGTGCACCAGAACATGGGCTACTGCCCTCAGTTTGATGCCATCGATGAGCTTCTTACTGGCAGGGAACATCTCTACCTTTACGCTCGTCTCAGAGGGGTGCCCGAGTCAGAGATCCCCAGAGTGAGTTGGACTCCAGCTGCTTTACATATCGAACAGGCTAAGGATGTTTTTTACTCGGCTAATCCAGTGACACTTTAGTTCAGCAAAGCAGTAGAAATCTGCTTTGTTCATAATGGTCTTGTTCTCTTTTTTTAAAAATATTTGCCCATTCTTCTTTTCTGTACTAATTTTGCTCATGCATTTTATGATATTTTATGAAATGCTATCTTAACGGGTGGGTTGTCCATTATAAAAGATCACTGTTTTGGATTCAAGTAGCCAATAAAGATGAATCTTTTTCTCCATCTAGGTTGCAGAGTGGGGCATTCAGAAGCTGGGTCTGTCAGAATATGCAGGCCGCTGTGCGGGGACTTACAGTGGAGGCAACAAACGCAAACTCTCCACAGCTATCGCAATGATTGGTTGCCCGGCCCTGGTGCTGCTGGTGAGTTAGCCAGTGACGCAAAGCTCATGAGCCCATTGTTTGGGATTTTAAATTTTTATGCAGGGATTTATCAATGAAATGCTCTATGAATCCAGATGGGAAGCCATATGGGTTCAGTCAAGCCTGGCCTCGAATGTTTTATACACTGGCAAGCAACTGTGCAGATCAGTTCAAATTGGCATAAATCTGAGATCTTTGCCATATGCTGATAAAGAAAAGGTTTTGGTCTCTGTTTGCATGGAATTATGTGCTCGGAGATTCAAGTTGGTTGTTTCTGGCTCTGTGCGTTTAGGACGAACCCACGACAGGGATGGATCCCCACTCTCGACGCTTCCTGTGGAATGCCATCATGAGTGTGATTCGGGATGGCAGGGCCGTGGTGCTAACGTCACACAGGTTCGCCTAATAATGAAATTAAAATCCTCTGGACACATTTGCTGCACCAGCTGACCAAACGGTTAACTGTTGATGAAATCACATTTGCATTCACTTGATTTCGCCACAGAGGTCCATGAAACGATGATGCATTGCTCATAAACATGAAACAGCAGCAGTAAAAATAAAGATGGATTATTGTTGTTTTTTTACCAGCATGGAGGAGTGTGAGGCTCTGTGCACTCGACTGGCCATCATGGTCAACGGAACCTTCAAGTGTCTGGGTACCATTCAGCATCTCAAATACAAGTAAGACATATTTTGTCTGTTACTATTTAAATATACAGTATAAGTGGTCATTTAGTCACAGTGGCAATTTCTAGCTAATATCAACTAATGATAAGAGCACATAAGGAAACATGTTGAATGTTTTGATGCTGTGTTTCCTTCATTTAGATTTGGTGATGGCTACGTGGTCACGATGAAAATCAAGCCAGCTAAAGCAGGCTTGTCCCCAGAGCTGGAGCCTGTCGAGAGCTTTATGGAGACCAGTTTCCCTGGCTGCGTTCAGCGGGAGAAGCACTACAACACGCTGCAGTACGAGATCGCCTCATCCTCCCTAGCGAGGATATTTCAGCTGGTGGTGGCCAATAAAGACAGGCTCAGCATCGAAGACTACTCTGTTTCCCAGACAACACTGGATCAGGTTGGGATGACATACAACAATGAGAAATGACACTGTGTTAATAAAACGGAAGGCTATTTGTCCCATGACAAGGAGGCAATAACTGTCAGCTTCCTCCGGACATAATAACACGCTGCATTCATAGATGAAAATATTCAGTCTTTAGGTTGCAATTTGTGTCATTTATAAAGAGTACATAAATAACTAAACATATTATGCATGTAATGGAGTTTTACCATGAACAGCTAGAACTTCTCTTATTTAAACATATTTCATATAATAGCATGGTTTATTTAAACATCATCTGTGTATACACATCTTCCCCTCCATAGGAGAGATTATAGTTGTTGATAAATATATTCATAATCTGCTAATAACTGCTGTTGTAAGCCTGACATTTAAATATCACTTATGTATAGCTGGATATAAATAAATTGTGATTCAATCCTATGCATTATAATTTATCACTTGCGTTAAAATGTTGGCGCACTTTCGGTTTTTCAGGTGTTTGTCAACTTTGCCAAGCAACAGGCTGGAGAGGACGAGGAGTTAACGCTACATAGACGAACAGCAGGTGGAAGAAAAGACATCAAGGTCTCACCGGTTAAGAGGAAAACATGAAAAAGTCATGCAAATGTAGAGGTGTTACTCCGCAGGACAGTAATATACTGTAAAGCCACACACCGAAATTCAACAACTTTAAATGTTTTGCTAGCCAGCTGTTTTTTTTTTTTTTTAGACCTGACCTGTGGAAGAGTTCGCTTCTCGAGCTACAGTCAAGCTTGACAAGCTCTTGCCTGCAAGTGGAGATTCGTCTTACACAACTTTTAAAAATCAATAATGTCTGACACATTGCTTTGACCTGACACTTTCCAAATTACTTTAAACATCAAGCTGAACAAAAGATTCTTCTGGAAAAAATTAAGTTTTTTTTGCTTAGACTGACTGGCTTGTATAAAAGTGTACATATTGTATGTTTAATGAATACACTAACAAATACCCTGTTAAGCATTATTTTTATTGTCTATTATAATGAACACCTGTCACTTTTATATATAATATTTAAATGAAGACTCATGCAATGTATTGTTGAACTGTCTAAATGCAAAACATGTTTACGATTGCTTCTGTTCTTGTCAGTATTTTTTTGTTGTAATTTTATTACTTTTTTCTGCTGTCTTTTACATCTACGTGCTTTGTCTCCTTGTGTCAGTACAAAATAGCACAATGTTTTCCTCTTGGGGAAAAAAAAACGTATAAAGAAGCATAGCAAGGCTGAAGAGGGAATCTATTTTGCAACTGACATCTGTTTAACATGCTTTCCACATGCTCTGTGCAGTCCTTTCTAGCTGATTTGCACTTCCATCAGTCACAAATAAAGGAGTTTCATGAGCTATATATGAAGTGTGGTGTAATGTAAATGTGAAGTGCTGTATTTCCTATTAAATATTTCAGCCTTCCCGTGCTTCTTTCAAAGCTCCTTGGTGTTATGGTGGGATGCTCAAAAAGAGGAACTGAAAGGCTTTTCACATTGCTGACCTACAGTGACTCCACTGACCTCCATCCTAAAGCTAAGGAAGCAACTACGCAGATCAGTTGAGTCAGTGGCTACGAGACGGCTTTGCATCGGGGGCCAAGGCGACACTGTGCTGAGTGGCTTGTCACAACCTGGATTTTTCTGACACATAGTCCAATTACTGTTCTCCTTCAGTGAGTGGTGGTGTCATTGCCTCAGGCTGCCCATAAGTCTGAATTCCATTGGCTACCTCAAAGAAACAGAAGGATGATGGCACTGTGCAATTTCAAGGCTGCTAATGAATTCTCTGGTGAGGATCTGATGCTCACTCTCTGCCCATATGGTCATCTGGATGAGGCTGATGAGCATGAGTAGCACGCTGTGTGAGAGCAAACAAGTCATGCATCAACAGTGCGTCCGGAAAGTATTCACAGCACTTCACTTGTTCCACATTTTATGATGTTATAGCCTTATTCCAAAATGGATTCAATTCATTTTTCACTTCAAAATTCTACATACAATAGCGCATAATGACAAAGTGAAAAAAAAGGGTTGCTTGAAATTCTTGCAAATACAGTACGATGGTTAATACTGCCTCACAGTAAGAAGATCCTGCATTCAAATCCACCATCTGGCCGGGGCCTTTGTGTGTGGAGTTTGCAGACTCTCCCCATGTTTGCAGTCTAAAAACATGCACCTAGTGGGGTTAGGTTAATTGGTGATTCTAAATTGTCCATAGGTGTGGATTCGAGTGCAAATGTCTCTGTGTTAGCCCTGCAGCAGACTGGCGGTCTGTCTACGGTGTACTCTGCCTTTCACCCTATGGTAGCTGAGATCTGCTCCAGCCCCCCCTGCAACCCTGAATGGATGTATGGATGGATATTACAAATAAAAGACATAAAATGACAAATGATCATCTGTCAGATGTTCCTACAACCTGATTGGAGTACACCTGTGGGAAAGTCAGGTGACTTGACAAAATTTAGAAAAGCACATATCTGTCGACATACGATAGTTCACAGTGCATGTCAAAGCACAAACCAGGCCATGAAGTTCAATCCTGTCTACAGACAATTGTCTGTACATCAGAGACAAGATTATATTGACGTACAGATCTGCAGAAGAATACAGTGGCCTCCATCATCTTTACACGGAACCAAATTTTGGAACCACCAGGACTCTTCCCAGAACTAAGGCTGAGCGATTGGGGTTGAAAGCCCTTAGTTAGGCTCAAGGCAAAGATGAGTATAGCAATATACAGATATATTCTTGATGAAACTGCAGAGTGCTCAGGACCTTGAACTGGGACAAAGGTTCATCTTCAAACAGGACAATGACTCTAAGCACCCAGCCAAGATAACAAAGGAGTAACTTCAGCACGACGCTCTGGACAGATCTGATAATGGCTGTGTACTAAAGCCACCCATCAAACTTGATGGAGTTCATGAGGTTCTGTAGAGAAGAATGGGAGAAAATGCCCAAAAATAGGAATGCCAAGCTCGTAGCATCACACTCAAAAAGACTTGAGGCAGTAATTGGTGCCAAATGTGCTTCAAGAAACTACTGAGCAAAGGCTGTGAATACTTACTTCTTTATGTCTATACTTATAGATATCTATTACTTACATTGGAATAGTAGTGGTAGAATAGTTAAATTTATGTCTTGCATATTTCCACAACCATATCAATAATCACATACCGTGTATGCCACCGTTGTATATAGTGTATTATTTTACTTATTTTATATTTGTTTGTATTTTTTGTATTTTCCTTCTGCTATCAGTACCTGAGCTGAGGTAACGTAAGAATTTTCCCACCGTGGGATCAATAAAGTCTTATCTTATCTTATGTTTTACAAATTTGTAGAGAATTTCAAGCTAAAATGTTTTCACTTTGTCATGGTGAGGTATTGTGTGTAGACATTCAAGGTAAAAAAAAAGAAAAAGAATTTTGGAACAAGGTGTTAATATGACAACATATGGATCAAATGAAGCGCTGTGAATACTTTCTGGATGCCTGCTGTTGAATCCTGAATGAGGCCGACTTAAACACTGAGATTATCTTCAGTGCAGCTGAATCAAGAAGCCACATTTTGATTATCAAGAACAGTGTGGAAAACTTAAACCTCAAATTATAACATTTTAACTTTCATTTTATTCATTTATCTTTATTTTTTACACTGCAACTCAAGACCAGAAATCTTATCTTATCATCTTATCCCAGCTGTCACAGGCCAAGAGACAGGGTACAGGTTTCCAATCTGTCACAGGCGCCTCTTTCTGTCATGTTTGGTAACATAAACTGTGTTTCACAAATTTTTTTTTTCATATGATGTAGTAGCAAATACTTTATTTTCCATAGCAGCATATTGAATTGGGAGCATTATACTGAGTTACAAGAAATTAAACATGTTACATAACTGAAATGTCCTCTTTTGTGATCAGATCAACCATCAGGTCATGCAATAGTTGTTCTCTTATTTAAAGCCCTATTTTCTGATCTTGTGGAAAGAAAATCACTCTACTGGAGCTGTTGTTAATGTCAAACTTCTTGATGCTTGTTTTAATTTGTCTCTTTTCCATCATGCCTGTCAGCCAATTGCCTAAAACTGGAATTTAATAGTCTTTCAAGCCCTTGAAAAAGAGGTTTCCTGTTATTTCCAGTAAAAAATCTCTCAATCCATGTGATGCTTACGTCTGATTATCAGATATTCTTGCAAAGTGTTGTGTATGTGCACCAGCAGCCACACAAGATTTTCCGCAACCAATATAAATACTCTTGTGTGAAACACGCTAATAACTACACAAATCTGACAAGGCTTAATATCTGATACTGATTTCTCTTTGACACCCTTTGGTGTCAGACAAATACACAGTGACGAATTTATCAAGACCTTCTCAAACAGCATCATTAAAACATGTAGCAATGGCATCTTTAGATGTTCAAGCTGCCTGCGGTGTGATGCAATCAGGAGCACTCACGCACTTTAAATGAAAAAGGGCTCAACAACAATTTGAAATGTTAGCTAACTAGTCATAGGGGGTGTTATTGTGCCTGTGGAAATGTGAGTATTGTAGCTGCTGTTTGGTCTTAGGGAGCTTTGCCACTTCAGTGAATACTCTGAGAAAGTTAAGAGTGAGAGAAGCCACTGTTACATGCTGTTACATGCTGCTGCTGTGGACCTGAAATGAAATGGACGTTTTCAAATGTGCTACAGTGACCATTAGGATTATAGAAGGTGTAGGAAAGAGTGTTTAAATCTCTTCTGCATGCGTTCAGATTGTTTTAGTGAGCAAATTTTAGTGATCCATTGATGATTTGTAATTTGCATGCAAAGCTTAAGTCATGTCTCACTGCATGCAGTGGACAAGGGGTCCTTTTGAGTTTAATGCTATTTTTTAATCTTTTCTTTCTTTCTTTTTTTAAACTTGTGGGTCAGAGCGGCAGATATTTTGTGTCACAAGTTTAATTGGGAGCATAGTTGAAGGATGGACTCGGAGAAGGTTAGTGGTGTATCTGTGTTCAGAGAGGGGAGTGAATAAACTGGATGAAAGACGGTGCTTCCGTCTGAGGTTAAGCTGATGAAAATTGTGTATCGAAGTTGGTGAACATTATTTTTATTATGTGAGAGAGTTAGGAAATGGAAAAGGAGAGCCAGACATTGGACTGATACTTATACAGCACCTTTCCACTCAAATTCCACACTTTCTACTACAAGTGAGTAATTCCTACACACAAATATTCCTGTAGCACTTTTGTCTATGCCTAAGCACATTCTGATATTCACATAAATGCAATGGGGGCAATGTGGGGTGAGTATCTTCCCCAAGAATACTTTGGCGCGTGGGCTGCAAGAGTCTGGGATTGACTCACCTGATCCAGCTTCCTACAGGAGGAAATAAGGGCTTGATTTCTGTGAACAAAAGGACCTTAGTTAGTTAGTTTTACTGACTAGTTTTTCTTTTTCTCTCCCTCTTTTTTGGATTAGCATCTTCCAATTTTTCCCACTCTTTTAATTTGCTTTCAAAGTGTTCCTTTACAATTTTTAAACAGTGTATATATGATAGCAACTATCTGTAAGTGTTGAGCAGCAACAATCCTCTGACATGTAGACGTTGCTGTGTGACAGATGAAAAGTATGGAAAGCAAAGACAATATTGAAACATTTTGCAATCTTGGAATGATTTCAATTATGTTTACTCAGCTCTGCAAAGTTTTTGTCTTCTTTTTCTTTTCCACCTTCTTCTTGGTTGGTATGTGGAATTTGCATATATAACAGATATAGTGTTGCAACACATATTTGACCATCTGTACCTAAAGTAAGTGGATAAAATCTCAGGTGTTGCATTTTTGGATTTGACAGTATATTTTTTTCCTCACCGACATGTCAGTTGTATTTATCATTTACTCCATAGCTGACATTTCAAGAGTTTTCATCTGACTCTATATACTCCGTGTTTGTCAGCATTTACACATCCAGTGGCATTTTCATTGCCTTCATTCCTTAAACTGAGTGATCATCAGCTTTAGGTGGTAATCCAGGTGATGTCTCAGATATCTCAGCTGCTCTCAAACATAAGGTCTTTACCTTTGAATCAAAAAGTATTTCACAACTTTCACATTGAAGCAGAATTCATGTATTTTCCAAGCTAGAACTTAAAGAACTTTAAATGTTGCAAATGTAGTCATTTGTAGTCATCAAATGTTGTCCAGTGTAGTCATTCTAGTTTTGTTCTAGTTATTGGATTTTGACTGATTCTTCAGCTAAAATTTAAAGCTGCTATAATTGCGTTTTTCCATAATCACCAAACTGGATTTCTGTCATCTGGAATCCATATTCTGGCTACACCAGAAGCTCCAGTTGCTCAATTGCAGACTCAGTATCTGATGGCCAAACATAGTGGTGGGATGGTAAAGACCTAAAACAGAGTGAATAGA